CTTGGCCTGGGGGACAACTCGCTTGGTGATTTGCCTGTTGAAGTCTGGGCCAACCTATTTGCAGGGCTCAGCCAGTTGCAGAAACTCTTTCTGTGGGGCAATCACCTCAGTCTGTTGCCTGCTGAAATCTTTTCAGGACTTGGCAAGTTGCGGGAGCTCCACCTGGCAGACAACTCGCTTGGTGATTTGCCTGTTGAAGTCTGGGCCAACTTATTTGCAGGGCTCAGCCAGCTGCAGGTTCTCAGCCTGCGCCGCAACCGTCTCAGCCTGTTGCCTGCCAACCTATTTGCAGGTCTCAGCCAGTTGCAGAAGCTCGATCTAAGTTCGAACCGTCTCAGTCTGTTGCCTGTTAATTTTTTTTCAGGACTTGTGGCCAATGTTTTTGGAGGGTTGAGCCAGTTGCAGGAGCTCGATCTGGGCGGCAACCGTCTCAGTCTGTTGCCTGCTGAAATCTTTTCAGGACTTGGCAAGTTGCGGGAGCTCCGCCTGGAGTACAACTCGCTTGGTGATTTGCCTGTGGAAGTCTTTGCAGGGCTCGGCAAGCTGCAGAATTTAGATCTGAGCGGCAACCGTCTCAGTCTGTTGCCTGCTGAAGTCTTTTCAGGACTTGGCAAGTTGCAGGATTTGGACCTGCGTTCAAACTCGCTTGGTGATTTGCCTATTGAAGTCTGGGCCAACCTGTTTGCAGGGCTCGGCGAGTTGCAGAAACTCGATCTGAGCAGCAATGGCCTCAGTCTGTTTCCTGCTGAAATCTTTTCAGGACTTGGCAAGTTGCGGGAGCTCTACCTGGATGACAACTCGCTTGGTGATTTGCCTGTTGAAGTCTGGGCCAACCTATTTGCAGGGCTCAGCCAGTTGCGGTTTCTCAAACTGCGTCGCAACCGTCTCAGTCTGTTTCCTGCTGAAGTGTTTTCAGGACTTGGCAAGTTGCGGGAGCTCCACCTGAGTTCAAACTCGCTTGGTGATTTGCCTGTGGCGGTCTGGGCCAGCCTGTTTCGAGGGCTTGGCGAGTTGCAGAAACTCGATCTGAGCAGCAATCGCCTCAGTCTGTTTCCTGCTGAAGTCTTTTCAGGACTTGGCAAGTTGCAGGATCTGGACCTGAGTTCAAACTCGCTTGGTGATTTGCCTGTTGAAGCCTGGGCCAACCTATTTGCAGAGCTCAGCCAATTGCAATCGCTTTACCTGAGCCGCAACAATTTGGATGAATTGCCTGCTATTTGTTCGACTATATTTTGCACAGGCTGAAATGCTTCACGGATATGCTGGTGAAGGATGCCTTGTTTTCGGCAAAAATGATGGGGCGAGGGGCGCAGAAAGGTATAGATCACAGACCCCGTCAAGCGATGAGATTTCGCGTTTCACCCTTTTCAAGGAACCTCTTGTAACAAAAAATCCTTATATTTTGTATGTTTTTCCCCACCTGCCAGGTGAGGGTTGTTAGATTTTATCAGAGTTGTTCTCCTCCTCCTCCTCGGCTAGCTCCTCCTCCTGCTCCTCCTGCTCCTCCTCCGCCTCCTCCTCCAGTTTCTCCTCGACCATGTCTGCATCAACTTCCACGTCCACTGTTGCCTTGCCAACTCTTCGCCAAGCTCTTTGCACCGCTGGACCTCAACCTGGGACCTTCCCAGCTCAGTGGGCACCGCTGGACCTCAACCTGGGACCTTCCCAGCGCAGTGGGCACCGCTGGACCTCAACCTGGGACCTGCCCAGCTCAGTGTGCACCGCTGGACCTCAACCTGGGACCTTCCCAGCTCAGTGTGCACTGCTGGACCTCAACCTGGGACCTGCCCAGCTCAGTGTGCACCGCTGGACCTCAACGGCCAGATAGAATGCCAGAAGATATGCCAGATAGAACGCCAGATAGACTGTCAGAAAGAATGCCAGAAGATATGCCAGATAAAGTGCCAGAATGTTTGCCAGATAGAATGCCAGAAGATATGCCAGATAGAATGCCAGAAGGTATGCCAGATAGAATGTCAGATAGAATGCCAGAAGGTATGCCATGTAAAGTGCCAGAATGTTTGCCAGATAGAACGCCAGAAGATTTGCCAGATAGAATGCCAGATAGAATGTCAGAAGATATGCCAAAAGATATGCCAGATAGATATGCCAGAAGATATGCCAGTTAGAGTGCCAGAAGATATGCCAGAACATATTGCAGAAGATATGCCAGGTAGAATGCCAGAAGATATGCCAGATAGAATGCCAGAAGATATGCCAGAAAAAAATGCCAGAAGATATGTCAGATAGAATCCCAGAAGATTTGCCAGTAACAAAACGTATAGATGTCATGGTGGGGATATCTCGAAGTCTTCGAAGTAAAGTATTTTTTTGGGGGATGTTGGATGATTTTGGGCTACTTGTGTACAACTTCTATATCATCCATTGTTTCACAGATGGGAAGATTTAGTGAGCAACCCAAAAAGTCAAGGTGTTGACGATTGGCAAAGGAGTTGTTGCGTCGAGACACATTTGTTAGACAAACAACATGAAGATAGAGAGAGGCGATCCCCTTTTTGGCAACAAAAAGCACTCATCATTCATTCAATATTCATGCCAGAGCTTGCTTTCAAGGACCCATACCCAACGTCAAACAAACAGGTTCCCATTATATCCTTATAGAATGTTTCCACCATACCCCCACTCGTTCGTAGGGCCTTAAGCAGCCCACCGTTAGTTCAGCTCAAGCAGTGGATGGATCCACCCAGGACAGTGTTGAATTGGGAATATGCTACAACATGTCGTAAGTGAATCAGTTTTTAGGAACATTAGACATGTTATTTTGGTTGGTGGTTTGCAACATGTTGAAAATCATTGTCCATCCGACCTAGGATGATGGTCCGAATTGACATGTTTTTTTTTCATGGGATCGAACCACCAACCATGATTTCTTTAAGTCAACTACCAGCAGTATTTTCATCATGTTGAGGCGCTTCAAATGCTGGTCCAAACGCCACCCAGGTTCTTGGGGCCCAATGGCCGCCATGGGGCGAGGCGCTGATTAACACATGGCATGTGGATTGAGCTGCCAACTTTTGCTGAGGAATGTAATAAGATGGGCCCAGTGATAGCAACATGTTCCAATCATATGCACAATCATATGCAGTTAAAACCGTGTACCAGTTTTATCCAGTTATACATGGTTGTAACTGAGGGTATGTATCATTTTATTATATAATGGGGTAAAATTTGGCTTATAGCTGGCAATTTCCAATTGTGCTTCGTCATTGGGTACGCTGGTGCATGGTTTCTCTGCTGAGATGGTTTGTGGCTATGGTGGCCACCAGTTCCGAAGATTTGGCCGGATGGACAACTGATGACAAGTGTTTTTCGCTAAAGATAAATTGTTTGGGATGTATTTGAACCGCCAACTGACATTTCTGAAGTTGTTTTTTCCCATATTATTTTGCCTTTTTTTGGTAGCATTTTCTCTGACATTTGATCTGGCAGTCTATTTGCCAACCGTCATATGTTCGGACAGTGTAATTGGCAATTTAAATTTTGCAATTTATACATTTGACATTCGATCTGATGTATATTCAGACTTTTTTTTGGAATATACACGTATGCCGGGATTTTATCTGACATTCTATTTGGCGATTAATTTGGCATTCTACCTGACCTATATTTTAGACACTTTATCTGAGATATACTCTGGCATTTTATCGGACATTCTCTCTGGCATTCGATCTTGCATAACTCCCCAAACAGTGTGGCCACACTGAGGGGTTCTTACGGTAGGTGTTAATTAAGGCCTGGTGTTGAATCGAGGTGGTCTCCAGGGCGTCCGGCATTTTCCTTGCAAATTTCCACACAAAATGGCTCTTGTGAAATGTCCATGTGAATTTCGACTGCGCAGGCTCGCACAAAACGATGTCCCCGGAGGTGTCCCCGGCCATTTTTCCTGTACATTTCCATACAAAAATGGCTTTTGTGACATGTCCATTGCGAATGCGCAGGCTCGCACAAAACGATGTCCCTGGAGGTGCCCGCGGCAATTTTTCTTGTTAAAATTTATACAGAATGGCTCTTGTGAAATGCCCGTGTGCATTTCGACTGCGCAGGCTCGCACAAAGTGTGCTTCCCGGCCTTGGGATCGGTCTTCTCAACATCATCCTCCTCAACATCATCAACTTCCTGCTCCTCAACATCAACATCATCTTCCTCTCATCCTCATCATCCTCGTCATTACCATCATCATCATCATCATCACCATCATCATCCCCACCATCATTATCATCTCATCACCATCATCATTATCATCATCCTCATCATCTCCATCATCATTATCATCCTCATCACCATCATCATCACCAACAACATCACCATCATCATCGACATCGTCATCAAAATTAATTAACATCATCATCCACCTTAAAATAATAATCCTTTTGCTCCCCCCACACTGTTTGGGGTCTCTTGCCGGGATATTTTTTTGGAGATGTCTTCTGGCCATTGGTCATGAGGGGATGATCCATCTGAAGTGAGCGGTCCTGGTGAGATTGCTGGCAAAAACTCCGAAGAAAATTTCCAGTTCCTATCTTAGGTTTCGGAACGGAAAATTCTCCCAGACCTGAATTACGCATTTCAATTGCAAGAACAGAAATCTTAGTGCAGCCCCGGCCAGATCATGGGGCAGATCCCATCCCATCGCTCAGCTGAGCCCAAAACTTGGAGTTGCTGAGCCGGTGATTTTTATTACGTTCCCATTTTTTGATCCAATATAGGGAATTTAGTTGGAATACCAAATCCAGGGCTAATTTTTGTGTTGTTTTTCCCATTTTATTAATCTTTATTGGAATCCAAAATAAATATCTGATTAGAAAAATGTGGCCAAATTTCTCGCTATTTCCCCATTGTTCAGTCATTGTTTTTCCATCACAAGATCCGAATTTCACAATTTTCATTTGCTTCTCATTTTCTCAGTGTTGAGCAATGTTGAATCATGATTTTCCCGCGAAAAAATCTGAATTTCACCATGTTCAGCTTTTGTGTGGCCCATGACTCAGATCCCGATCTCGGAATCCGCCGGAATCCGCCGGAATCCGCCGGAGGCCGAAGCCTTCTGCGAGGACGAGCCGTTCCATGCCCTGAAAGCGGACACGTCGTGGTACGTTCTGAGCTGAGGGATGCCTGGGGAAACATCTACTTGGAGGCGCAGGGGTTGTTAATCCCTTCCCCCTGATATGAAACCACGGTTGAATAGTGGATTTACACATCTTTGGGACCATTTAGGGTTGTTTTATTGCTAGGGGGATGGGAGTACTGGTTTTAACCATGGTGAAAACCCGGATAAATTGGGATATAACCTCTACAACTATGTATAACATATATATATATACACAGTATGATATACACATATGCATATAACCACTTATTAATTGAACTGCGCCCCCAATCTCGATGGAGATATTATATGGCTAACATATGATATGTGTGTGTTCAGACCTACATCCCTTAAGAAACTTGCAAGTTCAAAACCATGGGTAGCACCTTTCACCCTGGGAAACAGACAGTCTGGTTATACCATGTTATACTCCCCATTGTTTCTTTGAGATGTCAGCAAAATCCACTTTTTTCTGGTTACACACATCCTTTTTTTCATTTTTCTTTTAGATTTCGGTCACCGACATCCGCAATCTCCCTAGGTGTTGGCCATGCGCCTTGAAGCTGCAACGTTTCGATGATTGGGAAGGCGTGGCTGCTGCTGGTAGCGCGTCCAGCACGCCATCACTGGTGCCCTGCCTTGAAAAACATAGGAAAACCATTCCATAAATGGGGTTATGCCTGTTATAACTGGTAAATGGCCACAACTGTTGCAGGTTGGTTTGGGGAGAGAATGCGAGAAAGGGAGGGCGGTGATGTATCCCACAACTGAGATAAATGTGGTGGGTAAACTCAATCGCAGATGGGGGTAAGTGGGCAAGTCCAACACAGTGAACATCCTGGTGCACGAACATCTTTTAGGTGCTAACGCTAACATATTTATACACCCACCAAAAATATTGATTCTAAGTCTAATATGGGGCGGCTGGCAAATTACCTATAGAATTGCTTAGGGTATTTGGTTTTGTCATTTTTTTTTGCCAATGAGCACGGGATTACTTGGATGTGAGTCCTAGAAAGTGTTAAGGGATGAGGTTAAAGCCTCAGGCGACTGTAGTTAGGATCAATGATTAGTAGCTGGGTGATATCCCGAGATATCCCAGTTATAAGAGATTTTACGGTAACCCCTTGATAAGTGGGATCATTTATAGATGGGACCAGCGTAAAGAAGCAGTAACTGGTTCGTAACTGCCGTAATCAACCATGGCAATGGAAAATCCACCATGTATAGGTGATTTTCCAGCCACCTTTGAGTAGCAGATGGTAAATTGTGATGACCCAAGATGTTACAAGCCATTTCCTAAGCAAGTGCTAAGTTTTAGATATCATCCCTGGAGGTGTTTTTGGCCAAATCCCTTCTTGAGACGACCCCATATGGTGCCTCTAGCCACCTGCTCCTTCCACTTAGCATGAAGCAGCTATCACTTAGCCTGAGCCATTCAAAATACCCTTGTTGGTTGTCATGATGATGGGTTCTACCAGCTGGTAAAGAAAATAGGGGGTGTGAACTGACCCATTGCTTCGGACTACCTTTGCAATAACATCTCAATCCCATAATGAGATAAACCATGAACAATGCCCCTCAACCAACTAACAATAGCCAATATTAACAATATTTATAGCTTGGACATACCTATAGCAATAGCTAATTTTCACAATAATCCTAGAAAACCCAAGAAATACCCATTAAGAATGGCAATTCCATGGGACCAACGGGCCAACGGGATAGGAAAACTGCAAAATCTAAGGTGCCGTAGCTTCAGCGAACGCAGGGGTGGACCTGCGCCGGTGGTCGCGTCAATCGCTGGATCCCATGGAACTGGGGGAAATCTGAAATATCTTTAGTAAGTGGTGCCCCATAGTTAGCTAAGTTGGCTTATAACTTTAAAAACTATGGTTTAATGTAGATATAACTGATATAATTACTTCAATAAGTGTGTTTTATGGTTATAACTGATATAACTATATAATTAATGGGGTTTATAAAGCAAATTATAACTGGTGGGCACCACCTTGTAGGGAATACTGAAATCTAGTAGAAACTAACGATTTAAATCCGATCCGTTAGGGGGATTGTCAGCCGATCAATGGGATTTAGCCGTCCGTTGAATGGGGGGATTAATGGAATATGGGGAGTCATGGAATCTAGTCTCCAGTAATTTACCCTGTAGATATCGAAAGGCCATCAGACATGTAGATCATTTTCCGACTGGGAACCATGGGTTTTCCATATTTGTTTACATATTTTACTAGAGGAGGGCCATCAGAACGATCACAGCCCTGGAATAACGGATAGAGAACATGAGAAAAGATAAACAAATCAAACAGCATCATACCAGAAAAGCAATCATCGTTTATCATCCATGACCATTGGGATCAACTACTTCGTCACTAGTAATTTATGATAATAACACCTGACTCACTAGTACTAAGAAACATGATGAAACTACCAGCCATGATGATTGGATTCAACCATTTCATCACTAGCAAGCATGCACGATGTTGCGGATGGGTGGACTCACCCAACCACCCTGAACTGGTCATCGGCAATTTGACTTGCTTCACCGGCATCATTGGGAACAAGCATTCGGAAGTAATTACAGCCGAAAGTCCCGCAGTTATGTGCAATATCATAAACATCATCAACATTGATAAATGGGTGATGTTCATAAGATCAAGAATAATATCTGTTCATCCCTAAAAGATAGAATCGCAAATTTTGCGTCGCAAATCCCTATTGTTTTGATGATTTACTGTTCTACTTGTTTTTTTTGGGTTGCTTTACACTCAACCAATCTTAAAATAACATACGCTCGGACACAATCCATTTGTTGGATAAACATCACTGACTACATACGCGTAACTGCGTCATGGTCACAGCATGGGTTAGTTCCCATATTGGGGGATGATCCTCAATCGATGAACAGGGAGTTAAATACCAGTTAAAAGGATTACTATTGTGGGATGGATTACCATAAACCATACAATATTAACCATATATCATATACCATTATTTAGATAATTTATATGGTTTTACATGGTTATTAACCGTTATTCCCAGGCCGTGAAACCATGCCCTCGCAGGCCATCGGTTTCGTGACGGCCATTGGTTCGTGCCTAGGAGCAAAGTCGGCTTGGTTTCTCGGGACAAAAATGCAAGGTGGTGCCCCCCAGTGATGTTTGTTGGTTTAGTTGTATTTACCATAAACCACATTTATTGAAGTTATAAACCAACTTAATTGTGGAACTATGGGGCACCACATTGTATGGATCATGGATCATGCGTGAAAGTTGATGAAGAAGCAAATCAGACATGTTTGCCAATAACATTATAATTGATTTTGTTGTTTTGTTTCAAACATGAAAAATTGAGAACATATGGAAATGGAACATGAGGATCATTAGGCTTGAAACCTTGGTCCATGTTTTTCCCATTATGAGGGCAAACCCGGCAACAGGAATCCCTTCAAACCAATTCCCGGAAAAAAATAAAACAACTTTGTCACCGCAGCTAAAGTGTTTCTGTGCATATGGTCATGCTACCGGTGCTTTATCCCATCATTTTCTTTGAAACATCCGTTTTATCTCGTGATACCAACTTTTCATGTTTTCCTGAATGATATACTCACAAAAGTCTCGGATTTCAGTTTTCATGTTTTGGATTGAAACCCATTTTTCACTGGTTTGAAGTTTTGTTGAAAAGATTCCTATTATGGGATGGACCATAGATATAATTTTAACCATTTACCATTATAAAGATATTATATATACTTATTTGTTCTGGTTTAAAATGGTTTTTTAAACCATTATAGTTGTATCATATCAATCTATATCCCTTTTTCATAACCACCATTATGTATGTAGTATGAACCAAATTTTGTCAAAGTCCCTTCGTTTCTGACCGGATTCCCATCCCCCGTCATGGCCGCTCAGAACCTGGCAGCTGCAGCTTCGCCGGTGGCATCTGATGGGATGACCCGCGATATGGTGCCGGGTGGGGCCCTCCGGTGGCATAGGGAAACCATAGGACAATGATGATTTTTAAGCAAGAAACATTGGGATTTCATGGGATTTATAGCTGATTTATGATAGCTAACTTTAGCTAACTTGGTGAAAATAACGACAATAGCTAGGGTTTACAGGGGATACATCTACAGTGAGATGGGGTTAGAAACCAACTTACAACTGGTGGGCACCACTTTGTGGGTGTTTATGGTGGACGTTGTAGCCCAAAACCCATCGAAAACCATTGCTGGGGCCCCATGACAAATGGTGCTACCAGCAAATTCCAAAGGGATTTGATGGGATTTAATGGGTTTTCTTGGGATTTAATGGACGTATCACCATATTTGGGTCTGAAAATGGGGGATTGACCGTGCAACATGGCAATTTCAATAGTAAACATGATGCTGCATCATCACATGTTTCGGTAACTTCGATTGCGGTGTCTTTGCCACAAATAAACCTATATTTCCAGCTTTGTAGATGATGTCTCCTCAAATTTTCCAGGTTTCCAACTTTTCAGCACCTTTTTAGGGGTTGCTATGAGCTGGCAGCCAGTGACAGCAATTACAGCATCAAATGCAGGTATTGTGCATTACAACTTTGAAACTCATTCATTCTCATTATGCTCCATGCAATGTAAATTTAATATTTGGATTTATTGATACAATATTTAGTTCAGAAAGTCATGTGTTTCGCAGCTAGGGGTCCACAATAAGATGGGAAGTACTGACGGTGCTCGCGTTGTCCACCATCAGCAATGGGCTTCCCCTATGAATGGGTATGTTAAGCCCTATTATACAATTGGGGACTCAACATGTCATAGACCTACTGTACATACCGTAGCTTCGAGCTGCTCAAGACTTAATCTCGAGAGTTGTTTCACCCTGTAGCCTGTGTGGTTGGAGAGGAAAAGAGTTGGGATTGCTAGGACGTTGCTTCCTAACTTGTTTTCGAGTTGGTAGCGGAGCTCCTTGGTGCCGTCCAGGTTGAGCGATGCTGCTAACCCTCCTTGCCCTTCAGTGTTTCGTCACTGGGGCCACCGCCATGAATGGGAGTCTCGCCTCCCAGGGGAGTTTCGCCTCTACTGATGCCCTGGATGATGATGTGATGAATGGGAGTGACGTCTCCCCAATTCGCGACAATGCAACCGTTCCAAAAGTATATGAAAGGCAACTCATGCCTCTGCCGAAGCTGAAGTGGATCAGTGGTCCGGTGTCTCGTCACCGGGTCCACACGATCGTGATGCTGACCGTCACCTTGACGGTGTTGACCACACTTGGAATGATGTGGCAACCAGGTGCAGCGCAGGGCGGTACTGCCCGCCTACCACCGAGGTGGGAACCAGGATCCAACACATCCTTCAGAGCGTGGACTCAGGACTTGATGTTGTGGAGCATCTCTTCAGATGCTGAGCCGCACCAACAGTGCGCCCTGGTCATCTCACAGCTTGGCGGTGCTGCCCGTGAAGTTGCGAGGACCATGTCACCAGCCGAGGTGATGAATGGAGGAGTTGTGAATGGACAACACCTGGATCCTCTTAGCTATCTCATCCACGGCCTCAGTAGCCGCTTCGGACCACTCGATGACGAAGTGCGGTTGCGAAGCGCACAGGATTTGCTATCCTTCAGCAGGAGGACGGGCGAGTCAACCGACACGGTGTTGTCAAGGTTTGACATAGTCAGACAACGTGCCCGTGCCGATGGCGGGGGAGCCACAGTGAGCACCGAGACGGCAGCGCTCATTCTGCTGAGAGCTGTTGGTGCCAATCATACCCAGTTCCAACAGTTGACACAGCCTTTCGGCTATAGGTTGCCATCCACGGAACAGGAATTCCTGCACATGACAAGCGCCATCAGACGGCTTGGACACATAGTGGAAAGCCATCGTGACAACATTGCCTCAACCTTGAGAGGTAATCAGGGGTCGAATCATTACTGGGCAGGTGCGTCCCCCAGTGATGAGACAGGCCCGAACCAAGAAGATGGCCAAGAAGCTGACGGTGCCGATGCAGGTGGAAACTGGTCCTACCTCACGAACCATGGTGAGTCGGACACAGACAGTGCCACATCCAGCGACAACAACTCGCTGATGGACATCTCAGACCTCAATGGAATGTCCTCGTTCCAAGTGGATGAATACCTGTTTGGCAGGTACCAACATGCCAAGAAGAGATGGCGAAGGTTCACTGGCAAGCCTGTTAGAGCACTTCGACGCGTGCTGCGTCGCAAAGGCAAGGGCAAAGGCAGTAAAGGAGGCCTTGGACATGCCTATGTCAACATCAACGAGACGCTGCAGCAAAGTTCCTTCTACAAGGGGAAGGGAAAAGGAGGCAAGAGCAGCGGGAAGGGATTTGGCAGAAGGTTGAACCCGAAAGGCAGAGATGGAGAAGTTCTCAAGTGCAGCATCTGCCAATCTCAGTACCACCTCCGTGCAAGATGCCCACAGAGGAGTGACGCCTCCCAGCCAGCAGCAGCGGCCACAAGTTCCGTTGGCCAGATCCACCATACGTCGCAGGCAAACCAAGCGAGCCGTTCGATGTATGTGCACTTTGCCGCCTTTCAGGCCCAGCCTGGAAGTGAACAGTCTTGGAGTCGTATCGGCACTCCAAGAGAAGATGGTGGAAATCAGGAGGGACAGCAGCAAAGCCAAGAAGGAGTGTCGACTCCTAATGCAGCCAATGCGCGACCCGGTGACAGAACTCCTGAGGTGTATCACATGACACCAGACCCTCTGCAGGAGATCAGCAAGTAACCCAATTCAGCCAGCGCCATCGCACTGGCAAGGTCCAGCTGCATCGACGCTGGACCCCGGAATATCGGTTCCTGCATGGCACGTGCCGGATGTGAGATCCTTTCTGGAAGTCTCAGGACTGTCTACCACCAGACCAATGGTGGGGAGTGGCACTGAGCAAATGGTCTTGCCGCCGGTGCCGACAGCATACACCGCCGCAACTCAGGCCCTGCAGGCAATGGTTGAACCGGCACTTAGTGGAGGAGCAGTTGCATCAGAAGCCGCTGGTCTCTTCACTCAGGTCCATGCTGGGAGACAGGAGCGGCGACGTGAGAGTCGCAGTCACCGTGAACAGCAAGAAGAACAACAAGAGCCCGAACCTCAAGCTGCGCAGACCAGGGAGTCTCGCCCCCGCGGCGATGGAGGCCTGGAGGTGTACCAAGACACCTGCACAATCTGCCTGAACCGGTTTGCGGCAGAGGATCACTGTTGCAGACTGCAGTGTCGACACGTTTTCCACTCTGTCTGCGTGGGCGAGTACCTTCAGCACAACGCACCCATAGGCGAAGGAGACATCCGCCTGGTATGCCCCAACTGCAGGGAAGACACTCAGGTCGATCGTTCGTGGGTGCAGCCGACCTTCAACCTCCATGCGCAGCCCACAGTTGAGGAGCAACTGAATGAAGCCGTCCAGACCCCAGTTCCATCTGAGGCAAGTGCAGTATCTGCTGAAGAATATGTGACGCCGGACAATATCCGGTCGTATCCATGGTGGCCAATCCCCGAAACAAATCCACCAACACCAGCCAATGCAACTGAGTCCAGCCATGGGTACCATTCGACTGTCAGGTGCGACGATGGTCCCCTGAGCATCGCCTTTTGATTACAATCAAAAGATTTGATTTTGAGGCCTAAGAAATCAAAATGCCTAATTGAAATTTTTCAGTCAAAAATCAATTTGAAAAACATAGTTTTTGAAAGGCAAAAATCAAAAGAGCAAATCAAAAGGAACCTCTAAAAACAGATCAAAAAAGGTGTTTCCAGATGCAGCTCTGGCAGCAAGATTTTTGAAGGCATGCCTCATATCTCTAGGTGGCTTTGCACCTAAAGTATATATATATATATGTACACACAGCTGGCTAAGTAATCCTGCTGGCTTTTTCCAAAGCCATCTGGCCTTTTCCAAAGCAGTAGGCTGAAATCCTTTTCCAAAGTTTCCAGTCTACACTGTGCCTTTTCCAAAGCAAAGAGCTTTTCCAAACTAATCACCACTTTCCTCCTGCATGGACCTTGTCAAAAAAAGATGCACCAAAATGCGATACTTGGGTGCAACTTTTAAAGACAGGCGTGTGGATGATACTCCCATTGAGACTGAATGGGTCAATCTGGCCACCTGCCCTACAAAATCTTCAGCTTTGAAACACCACTGTGTTCGTGGGTTTAAAAACTTAGAATTCCAGACCAGATGGATGAAGCTGTGATGTTTTGGAACTATGTGAAAACTCATCCTGTCCTTTTCCAAAGACCATTGGTTCAGCCAGGCATAGCTTCTCAGGAAATCACCTGCCAGCTTCAAGCCCTTTTGGTACTGTGATGAAGTAAGAAATGTGTCAGCCTCATCCCAGAGCTTCACCAGCTTTTCCAAACTGGTAGCCACCAAGACCATGTGCTGCTCACATTCTTCCATTGTGTCTTGAAAAAGCCTTTGGATAACAGAAATGAAGGCTGGCAGGAGGTGCCTGGCTTCCCCTCCTTTGCAATCCAATTGGGGATATTTGGCCCATGGCTTTTGTGTGTCTGTAAACATGCTCATCCTGAGATTGGTCAAGCGGTTTTTGCACTCCTGTTTGCTGTATTCAATTTGAATTTCACTGAAGAGAATTGCAAGTCTGTCTGCTGGCTTTTTAGTGGCTCTTTGGCCAGGGCCTTCAATGTAACAGACATAATGGAGAATTGATCCTATAACATGTCCATAGAGTCCTTTGCAGAACAAGATGTGTAGTGGATCTCCACGGACATGTTTGCTTGAGATGTGGCTCAGTTTGAAAAGGGCATGGTCACTCCATGGGTCTGCCAGGCATTCTTCATGGGTGAAGACTTTGAACTTTTGCTTTTCCAAACAAATTTCCTTGTACCCTTTTCCAAAGGTACATGGAGTAAAGTTCTGGGCATCACACTCCCAGCAAGGCCAGTGGCTGTTCCAATGTGGTAATCCCAAAGAGTTAGCAAAAAACTCATGGTCTCCAATCACAGACCACAGGACAGCCCTGTATCTTTTGAGATGCAGTGGCTGGCCTGCTAGCCTGTGGAACACTGAACCCTTTTCCAAAGGTTTGTTGTCTGGATCCATGGTTGGGTGCTTGCCATCTGCCAGTGCTTCAAAGGACCATTGAAGATATTTCCAAATGACTTCCCATGTTGTCTTGCTGCCACAGCTTTTAGGAAAGCAGGCAAGGAGCCAATGGCTCAGCAAGGTGCTGGTGCTGCTGAGTAAGCAGCCCCAGGAATAGACCATTAAATTGTCATTGTTGGAAAAATCAACCCCATCGCCATGCAGAAACAGGGGGATAGTAAGATCTTCCAGTCCTTTTCCAAAGACATAGGGTGATCTTTCAATTTGTCATCATTGGTTTTTTCAACCCCTTGCCAGAAGGCTTTGAGTTTTCCCTGGCCCAAGCTGAATAGCTCATGGAAAACTTGTGGGTAGTTAACACCCAGTTTCCAAAACATCATATGTGGCAAAAACAATGAGGCCTTTTCCAAAGCCTCCTTGGAAGTTTTTGGGTCTTTGCATGGAACTTCCACTTCATAAGGGTCAGCAATCTGCACATTGGAGCAAAAATGGTTCATGATTTGTCTATGGCAATTTCCAGGCTGGGACCCCCAATTGCCTGTTTGTGCGATTGCCACAAGGTCTTGATGCTGGGCACCATCCTGAATAGCAGAAGCTGCCAAGGACTGAAGTAATGTTGCACTGAGGACTCCTTTTGCCCAAAGGTTCAGCAATTTGTTTGCTAAAGCTGATTCTGCAACAGAACCATCTGCCTTTTCCAAAGCTTTGCTGGCTCTGGCCTTAGGTGCCTTCCCTGATTCATATTCTAGCTGCCAGCCTCTGAGCCTCTTTGTCATGGCTCTGCTGCTGGCCTTTTCCAAAGCCCCTTGCCTTTTCCAAAGCCCCTTGCCTTTTCCAAAGCCCCTTCCTACAAGTTTGAACAGAAGCTGAAAACAGCTGCAGAAACATATACCTGTTGCAAAAGAAGAAGAGTGAGGGTGGAGGCTATTGCTACCTAGGGGGATGGCTATTGCCCACACACACACACATATATATATATATTATATATATATATATATATATATATATATATTTATATTTAGCTTTTAAATATATATATATATATGTGTGTGTGTGTATTTCTTTAGATATACATATAAATATATATATATATAGAGATATATATATATATATAGATATCCCTGACACACATATGTGGGACTGTAAAAAATAAAACAAAAAACACACCCAATATTACAAAAACTACCAGTACAATTTGAAACCTTGCCTTTACAACTTCATTTCCTTCCTTTTGGTGGTGCTGATTTCAAGAAATATGTTATAGTGCATTTTTGCCATTTTACTTTGTCCCTACCCCCCACCCTTCCCCCAAGCTGCAGACAGCTATCTTTTGTCGCCTATGGGTCTATATTGTTCTGTGCAGTGGCTTCTCCCATTTTGGAAGAGCTACTCCTAAGCCAAAGGCTGCCAATTTACCCAAAATTGCCCTTTCCCAAAGGCTGCACATGCCCCAAAGCAAGCACTTTCCCAAATGCTTTCCACCAGCACTTTTCCAAATGCTTTTGCTGCCTGGCATGCAATGATCTTTTCCAAAATCTTACTTGCTGCCCCTAGACCTCTTGCTTCCAGCCAGGGAAGCTTCCTTGTGGGCCAGCTGTTTCAGTTCTTTTGCTTCATCTTTGGCACCCTTCACCAGCTTGGCACTTTCTTCCAAGATGGCCTTCAAAGCAGAGCTTGTGGTTTTCTTTTTGCCACTCAAAGCCATCTTCAGCTGAGACAAAACTTTGGTCAGTTGGCTGGACCAACCTTCAGCTCCAGCCTTACCCTGCCTGCTCAGCTTTGGGCTGGCCTTTTCCAAAGCCAGCTCCAAATCACTTTGTGTGCTGGCCACTGTGTCCCTTGCTTTCCTTGCCTTTTTCAAAGCTTCCTTGAGTTCTTTCTCTTCATCTTCTTCCTCTTCTTCTTCATCCTCATCATCTTTGTCCTTGATGGCCAATTGCTTCTGGCCTTTTCCAAAGCCTGCTCCTTTGTCTTTTCCTTTGCCTTTTCCAAAGCCTTTGCCTTTTCCAAAGCCTTTGCCTTTCCCACCTTCTATGTCCTCCAAACCAAGGGACATGGCATCTTGGTGGTACAGGGTGTTGAACCTGTCCTGCTCCTCATCTCCAGGTTCCATTTCCTGTCCCTGTTGCCATTTGGATCCCCTTGAGACTTCCACCTGGCCATGGAAATCTTGGAGGTCTTTGTACTGGTAGACACCTGGTGTGGCTGGGTCTTGGCGCCACACAACTCTGCCAGAGTTGCAGTGCAGCACCAGCTCATCCCACCCAAACTTGTCAGTGGCCTGCTTCTCTGACATCCAGCTGTCCATTTTGGTGGTTTTTTGCTTGGCCACCACTTCCCTGGAGGCATGGAGGTACTTCCTCCCAGAGGTATCCATAAGCCACTGGGCAGCCCTCATGCCTTTCTCCTTCTTGCTCATGCCTTCCAGTTCCCCCTTTTCCAAAGGGTTATTTTTCAAATGTGTCTGGTGTCTGGACCAAACCTTTGCATGTTCCTCCTTGGTGAGGCTGTCCTTCAAAGTTTGGGCTTGCTCTTCACTGGTTCCTCCTTGGGTAGCAGCTGCTTTGATTTTTTCATCCAGTGACATTTTGCCCAACTTTTCCAAATTGGACCTGTTCAGATCATTTTTGGACTTGGCTTTGGCTGCCTTTTCCAAAGCAGCATTTTTGGAGCCAGTTGCTTTTTTCTTTGCCTTGGCTTTGGCTTTTTTCATTACTGTCTTTGGATTTTTCACACTACTGGGCTTTCCCAAACCCATGTTGCCTTTTTTCATTGCTTTCATGTTTTTCTTAGGTCCCATAGATCCTAAACACAACTTGGCAACTAAGGTTGCTTCAGTTTTTGAGCCAAAATTTCACTGGGATTCAGCAAAGCCAATTTGCATTGAAACCAAAAAAATGGTTGGAATTAAAAACATACAAGAAAAAAACTTGTGAAACCAGAAAAAACTCACTTGAATTCAAAAAAAAATCAGACAATATCAAAAAAAAACAGAAAAATCAAATCTGATCAAACCTGATCAAATCTGATCAAATCTGATCAAATCATCAAATTTGATCAGATTTGATCAGATTTGATCAGATTTGATCAGATTTGATTTTTTTTGAATTCAAGTGATTTTTGTTTGAATTCAAATGAATTTCCAGTGAATTTGTTTTTGGGTTTTACTGATTCCTGGAATTTTGTCAGCAGAAGCCTTTGGAAAAGGGCTCTTATCAAAATTACAAACAAATAAAGTTCACATGCACATGTTTTGTTTTGCTTTTGTTTTCAGTGTTTGTGTTTGGCACCTTTTTTTTATCTCTATCTAATTTTCTTTTCTGTAAAAAATATTTTAAATATAAACATTCAAATATATACATAGATTTGTTTATAATGTTCCATTATGGTTTGACTAAAGGTAAACATTTCTGAAGCCTTTCCTGATACAATTCAAATTGCTATCATGAAAAAATATATTCATTTTAGAATTTCTTTAGATATGTTTATAATTAAACTATTTATTTTATTATTTATATTTCATTTTCACT